CAAATGAACCAAAAAATTTTATGACTGGTCGGTCGTGGCAGATGAGTTCTTTTTTAAATGTGCTAACCCTTTGCAGTTCGCTCCCGGGAAAAAACAAACTCTCAGATTTCGTTGACAACAGGCTTTTTTTGGCTAACAAATATAACTGGTTTATCACCGTTCGAAAGTATTTGTACTTGACGTGAAGAAGCCGGAATTTGTGATGAATTTCGCCATTATGCCTTTCTTATTTTTGCGTAATCTGAATATGCACTACGGCAAGCTCACCCCTCTATGTAATCATGTGGCTCTGTCCAGGATGAGTGCTAGAACAGCTTAAGTCCCACAAACCAATGAGCCGAAATTTTAGGGACGTTGTTTTGCGCATTTTAGAAATTCTAGCACGAAATGCAAGCATGTCCCCAATTTTCAAGTCCCATGGTGTTTTAATTCACAGGTACTTAAGCTGAAACGTTAGAGTACAAAAATCCGGAATTTTTACGGCTGTAACCATGATATGGAAAAAGTCTTTCCAATCTAGTACAACTGCTTTTATCTTGCCCTAGCACATCCTTGCACTTGTGCCCACAATTACAAAATGCGGGATCTTCTGCTTGAGCCGAATCTGCGTGCCTGTCGCAATTTATTGCTTTCTCTTGCCTTAACTGTAAATAGCCATTTGTTGTCAATTACAGCTTTATTTACAATGCAATTTCACTTTTTATGTTAAAGCTTTGAAAATGGAAAAGCACATATTGCTTTTCATATGTTTATGCAAGTTTGAGAAAATATCATAGCAAAATTTCACTTTTCTTTATTGACAGTGCACCGGCCTGTCCGCATTTTCAGAACTGCACAGCCGAAAAATGAAAAGTTCGGCAGCACAGCTCACTAACATATACAGAATCATGAATTTGAAATGAACTATTAAGTTTCTCTGCATTTCAAAAATTTAAAATTCAACTTAGGAGCAGGCAAAAAGTACGAACTTTAAATCCTGTACAGTTTTTTACGACAGTTTAGAAATACACAGCTAAAATGAGCATTCAGAGTCACTGTTTTCTGAAATGAAAATTAAGCCCAAATAATCTGATTCTTTAAAAACCAGACTTCAAAACCGGGGTGTTCCACGTGAAAACAAACGACCATTCTTTAGTCAGTTAGCCATCACACCTCAGAAAACGAAAATTAAACTTTTACATAAGTATCAGTTAAAGACCGTAGCAGCATGAGTGCCCCGCTAAGCACAAAAGTATTCCGAAGCAAAATATAAATCCCGAAGTGAAAATAAGGCAGGATGTTAAAGTGATACTGGTGCATCGAAAAACAACACAAATGATTACTTTGGCTGAAGCAAAAATGCCGATAAATACAGAAATGGGGAGAAAAACGTGAGCTGAGACAAAGAAAGGAAAACCAAGAAGCG